TCTCCCTTACTCCAGCACTGCATCCTACCTATCCTCCTAGAAAATTATTCTGCTGTCCCCAGTCATCATATTTACGGCACACTCCTTCATCATTCTGATGACAGCCAAATCTAAAAAGATCACTGCAGAGGAATAGGAAAAGTGTATTCTGGAAAAGAGTGGACCACTTGTTATTTAGGTATGAAAGTGTTGGAGGAATATGCTGATTTTGGCTGGGGTAGAGTTAATTACCTTCACAGTGGCTAGTACAGGGGGCTGGGTTTTGGATTTGTGCTGAACATAGAGTTGATAATAGAAATGTTTTTTCTTATTACTGAGCAGTACTAACACAAAGCCAAGCCTTTTCTGCTTTTCGTACTGCCACGGTGGCGAGGAAGTTTGGGGTGCATTGGACGTGTGTAAGAGACACAGCTGGGACAGGTGACCCAAACTGATCATAGGGATGTTCCAGACCATATGACATCATGCTCAGTATATAGACCAGGGGAAAGAAGGAAGAAGAGAGGATGTCTGGAGCGCTGGCCTTTATCTTGCCAAGTAACTGCTACACATGATGGGGCCCTGCTCTCCTGGAGGTGACTGAACACCTGCCTGCCATGGGAAGAAGTGAATTAATTCTTGTTTTGCTCTGCTTGTGTGTGTGGCTTTTGCTTTCCCTATTAAACTGTCTTTATCTCAACCCATGAGTTTTCTGGCTTTTACCCTTCCAGTTCTCACTCCAAACCTAATGGTGGGGGAGTAACTGAGCGACTACATGGGACTTGGTGGTTGGCTGGGGTTAAACCACAACAGGGAAAAAAATCAGTGCCTTGTGACAGAAAGAGCTTCCCCTGGAAACATTTTGAAACTAAGAGGTATAATGTTTTTAACGGGTTCTAACTCTGATCAGCCTGATTTAACTCTGATTTCTAAATAGTTCTGATACTTAAAAATTTATCAAAAAATTATTTTTTGTCATTTTGAAAAAAACTGTAATATTTTATTCTTTGCAAACAAAATAATTTGCTTCTATCATGATAAACTATCTCACTATTAAACTCACAATATTGGTTATGTTTGTTAAATTGTATACTTTGGGACCTTATCCTAAAATTCACAGCCAAAATAAAGTGCCTTTAACATATTGAACTGGATTTTTTCAACACTTCACAGTGTAAAATGTTATGACAGTAAAGAAGTGAAATGAGAAATATAGTTCATTTCAGCTTATTTTCAGCAACAAAAGATGCTTTCATTGATATGTTCCTGTGGTATGTAACACTGCTGATTAAACTGTAGGTAGAAATTGGTTTTGTCAAACTTTTCTGACCATCTTTATCATAAGGAAACTGGGTCTTTAGCTCTTAAATGCAGTGTTGTCCATCACTTATGTGAGTCTGTAAAAAATCATAATATAAATAAACTTACATTTCATAGATAAATTTATATTTGTTCAAAAATTTGTTCAAATACAGGCTTAAGATTTTCAAATTGTTGATGAATCAATCATAGGAGTAAAAGTGTCACAGTGTTAGGTCAAGACAATTCTTCACAGCAATAATTACAACAATATTTCACTTTCTCTTTTAACAGGATAGGGACTCTGTCGAAAAGTTCTATAAATTTGCTTCTCAACATAGCATGATGATCACATATCTCAAATGTTAGTTAAAGTACTTGGCAGGACGGCTATGTAAATCACCTCCATTTGTTTTTAGTGCATTTTCCACATGTTCAAGAAACAGTAAAAATATTTGTTGGTCATGCTAAGAAATCCTTAAGTAGATAAAATCAAAGCACAAGAACATAAGTCCTATCAAATTTGGTAGGGTAATCCAGTGGAAAATAAAGTCATTTACCTTGAATAGAAACTTGCTCAAATTATTCGCATAAACTGAAATGTCTCTTTTCTAGAATTTTCTTATGAAAAAAGAACATTACAAATAGCCCTGTTGGATGTTTGTACACTATTTGTGGAATAAGGAGCTACTCATCTTGGTTAAAAAATTTGAGTCTGGACTTAAGCCAATGTGGCCCAGATTCTGCCATCCTTACCAGAGCTGAATAGTACCTTAAGTTGGGCCTGATTATGAACTGATTACTCAAGTTATGCTGAGCAGCTTTTTTTTTCGCATGAATGGGGGCATTGTGAATAAACATTTACAAGTGATTCACAATTTGGCCTATGTGAGTAACCTAACTCCCATCAATGCATCTACTCATGGAGTAAAGCACTACTAAATAAAAGTGGCAGAATGTGACCCTGTTGTAGTACTTGACATCTAACATGAAGATACTTTTTCATTAGGTAAATGAAACGCTGCAACCAACAGGCTATCATTCATTCTTTGAGACAAGGCTGATGCAAGAGCATAACAAGCTTAATGCAGGCCTGCAACTTATCACACCTCAGGTTTAATGAGGGGTTGAATACCCATTTATTTAATGCATAAAATTATGCTAGCAACATGCAACAAATAATTTCCATTGCTGGATTTGAGAATGAAGAATTATTAGAATTGCTTCGCTTTCACTTAATTAAAATCAGCAGGAAAATAACATGGTCTTTTATTTTCCCCTTTGATTTTGGAGGCTTCAAGCATCTAAAAATGTTGTAATATTTTGAAAATGGATATTTATTCTCCCCAAGTAATCTGTCAATGCAATAAATGCCTAGGAATTGCTAGATTTTACTCCTGACACAAACCTTGTAAAAATTATTTTGGGGAAGCTGTCAGAAGACAACAAAAGCAAATTCTGCTATGAAAATAAATAAGTAAATTGAAAGAGGCAACAATAAAAATGGTTTGGAGTTTTCCAGCTAAACTTTTGCTTCTCTATCCACTAATGGTGCTCTTAAAAATTATCTGGAAATCACTTTGGCATGTTTAAATACTATACCTTAAAAAATTATTACGTGGAAACTGGATAAAATAAAACATAAAAAACCCCAAACATATTTTTCAACCGGAAAGAGTTTGACCTGCTAAAAAATCCCCTGTGTTTTCACCACTTTCATCCTTCTGCGTCTGACACTATTATCTATCTAAAACTAGTGTCTCTACCTTTACCAATAAAATTCTTTTTTCTGCTTTAAGTTATAAGGCTCATTTATTGCTGTCTAAACAGACCATAAAAAAGGGAAAAGAAAAATTCTAGCCAGAAAACTCTTTTTCAGTTCCTCTGGCCAAAATCGAAGCTAATTTTTAAAAGGAGAAACAAATCAAGAAACGCCAAATTGGAGTATATGTATATGTTAAACTTTGAGTTTATTATTAGTAGCAAATAGGACAACCTTCCTTTCAACTGTGTAAGAATCTGCTGTAAAAAAAAATAATTCAACTCGTGGTTTCAGAGTTAAGTTTGTTTATTCCTCTGATAGGCTGCCAAATAGATCCATCTCCAATTTTTGTTTCAAGTTTAGCCCCCCTAAGTGGTAGCAGAGAATATTTGGGGGTTCCTTTTTTGTTTGTGAGTACGGGTAGTTCTGCAGTTTCTGTGAGGAAATGTGCTTCCTGGATCTTCCCTTCTTCCTCCATCCACCCTCTGTTCCTAACTAATGGTCAGAGAGAAAAGCAAGAAGGAACAGAGGGTGCCTAGAGAGTTGTATCCTGTTCTAATCACAGCCATGCAAGTCCTTCTTTATTTCAATTAATTTGCTTGCCTTTATGAACCTGAGAGGCTGACTGTTGCTTTCAAAGAGGCTGACATTTCACTCATCTGAAAGAGCTTGGAATGTGACAAGGGGAAAGGGAGGAGAAGTAAATCAAAGCAGATAGCAATTCTCCAGATGTAAAGTATTTTTCTTCTCCTCTATTTTTTTTCCACCAGAAATGTCAGAAAGTCTACTGACATTTTAATTCCTTTGTGATAGCCTGGGACCTGAGAGCCAAATCCTTCTTCCACTGCAGTAGAAAAATTTTTTCCTGTATATTTTAAGGGAGCAAATCAGTTTTATACTCTGGAAAACATATAAACAAAGTATCCACAAATGGTTACTAAAACTAAATGAAATGTTCTTTTATAATGTCTTAAGAGCCGTTACAAACTGAGACTGGCAAGCCTTGTTAGAGTTCTTTCATTTCAGTTCGACTATCATTAGCAAAACCCAGTAAGACGGACTGCACCGGAAGTAAGACTTCACTGTTGTGGTTTTTTTCCCCAAATCTGGATTCTGTTGAAAGTGTAGCAATACTATTTCATGCTCTCTTTTAGTAACCAAAGTTTCGTGACCCTATCTGTAACCTTAAAAATTTAATTTAAACACTAGTTGGCTTAGATAATCTATGCATGTCTTTCAAAACTCTACTAACCTCTGTGATCCTGCTTTTACTGGTATATTTGACACAAAAAAAAAAATCTCATTATCTTTAATAGGAATACACTCAGGTCCATAAGATAAAGGATTACTTTCTATTCTTATTACATTAGTTGTTCATTGATATAAGTTCAAAAAGCTCAACATGCATTTTGCAAAACAGCAGAGCTGACTTAGAGCAGCAGCGCAGTGCTAAGAAAACTCAGTCTACAAATTCCACCTACAACATGAACGGTCATATATTTCCTTCTTTGCATGATGTGCTTAGAGATTTACATCATGGTTTGAGTATAATAAATTTATTATCCTTTACAGAGTTGTTCCCTTATGAAGTATTCATTTGTAAAGCATGAATTTTGTATACAGGACTGCTAAAAACCATGGAGTAGACATATTTGCTTAGTAGTTTTATTCTTTTTTGCAGGTTCTATAATCATATTTCATCAACTGGTACAACAAAACATACCTACATATAAAAACCAAAACAAAGGGGGCTTGTTGAGCTTGATGTATGGTAAATCTATTTGGTTTATTCTTGTTTTATTGTTAAATATTATATTGCATTTGTTTAAGCAGACATCGTGTATATTGTGATTTCTAGCATTCCACACACAGCAGCTTATTTTTTTCCCTTTAAATATGGGAAATAAAAATGGTTCTAGTTTGCTATTAAAAAAAGAAATTGAGAAAGGGTACTGCTATATTACATGGCCCAGGAAATATTGGCTGCATGCTCTTTGGCTTTCATCCGTAGAACTGCAATGCTGGAGGACCTCCTTTCAAACTCTGGCTTGGTTTCAAAAGCATGTCCATTGGTTGCCCCAGAAAGTAATGAGTCAGTGAAAAAATTATTGAGGGGCACGTGGCTGAACTGATTCTGGTGGTTTGAAAAGCCTGTGTAGCCAGAATCTGTCCGGGGTGAATGGGAATAAGGTGTCATACAGGAGGACGTATCTCGTGGCAGCATGCAGGAAGTAACCACAGAACCGCTAGCCGCATTCCCTGCCCACAGATTGTTCTGAATCTGGAACATATAAAATTAATACAATTAAATTTAAGTAGTTCATCTTTTGTTTTCTGTAATGTTTGATTTCCTTTACTTCACATATTCATTATTAGTTGTCCTCTAAAACAAGAAACAAGTACTTAACCAATTCTCTGCAATCATGTTAGAAAATAGCATGAAGTGATCACGAGTCAAAATACTAAATTCTTCACTTAAGAGCAAGGGCTGATGAGTCATACTCCTTGCTCTGTCATCCATTTGCTCCGTGGCTCCATATGTGATGTTTACCGTTGAACCTCAGGATGCCATCAGCCCATCCAGTCAATAAACTTAGTGGAAGCACACAATTGACTTCAGAGAAAAGGTGTCAAAAGAGTGTAAAAGATCATAGCTGTTTTCACCATAAAAACTTCTCCTCATTAGAATTCTTACTGTAATGGTAGGAAAGAGTAGAAAAGGGTGAACAAAACAAACCATTTTGGATTTCTCAAGCCACAAAGCCCAACAAGTATTTGCAAAATTTAATATTGAGAAGCCTTGCATAATTACTTTAAAACAAATTAAACCATAAAACACAGGAATGATTGATAATACATTCAAGAGTTTTGCTTCTTTTCTACATTCAAGAGTTATTCAAAAGTTTTGAGATAAGATTTCTTTTCATTAGGTTTTTAGGCAAAATGATACTTTGAGGCCATTTCTTTTTCAGCTCTCAGCCTTAACAGGCTTCACTGTGCATCCCTGGAAAATGTTGCATGACAGACTAGGACACAAACTTTGTGGTTACCAGCAATGCTTGGATTAACCATGTAGTCAAGCTTTGATGTATAATCCTTTCTATACTTGGCAGTCACTTAAAGCTTCATTCTCAGTCTCAGGCCTTCAATCGTCTATGTATAGATGCTATTTATGGATAGGTGTTTTTCACTTATTTGTTACTAGATAAAGAGATAGGAAGATTTTAAAGACCTAGTATAAGTCAGTTCTTGTCATTATCTCAGACTGTGCAATTTTTTATTCCTGCCTTATTCACTTTGATTTAAGAAAACTTCATACTCAGCAGCTGGCCTTCTGTTCTTTAACACTCTCTACTCTCTATCTCTTTATGAGTATTACATGGATATGATATAATTTCTCACAAAGTCAAACTCCCTCAGTCATTTCTCACTTGCGCACACCATTATACAATATACAGTTTTGTATGTCTTCTCCACTTTAACTTATATCTCTTTCCTGAACACTGATTTTTTTTTTTTAATGTACAAATAACATCATGCAAGACGTTTTTAGCCCTCATTCTCGGCACAGAACTTGTCAGCCAGTAACTATATCCTTTTATTTGTTTTACTTTGCTAAATTTGTCTTTGTCCTAAAAATCTGTTGTCTGTTCAGTATATCATTGCTCTGATGCACTGTGATTGAGCCCACATGTCGTTGTTCTCTGCTATGTGTTGAAGTAATTGCAGTTAATCTTCGGCTAGCACTGTACAGTGAATTCCCACTTCAAACTTAATTTTACATTCATGTTCCAAATTCATAGACAAAGGAATTTTGACTTTAAGATATGAAGGTTATCTCTCTAGCTGACTGATTTTTTTCTGCCAAAGTAGAGGTCAGGGGAAGTAATGAATTATGACAGACACACACATACACACACACAGAGAATGAAAACATGTTTCTAATGCTGATGAGTTGGATTTTTTTCCCCTTGTCCTATCACTTTGCAACAGCACATACTCACCAAACCACCAACAAACTAAAGTAATAAATTATGGTTCACTGAACTCATCTAGCTGAGATCTATTGCAGATAGCAAGGATGAAACAGTCTTATTTTAAAAGTTAGTTTTAAATAGTTATATTAGCGAGATCACCAGGAGCTGACAAACTAATTTGGGCTCCTTAGAAATTCCAACAGCAAAAAAAGAACCAGTAAATGTACCATTTTTGTTTCTTGCAGAAGCCTTAGGAAAAGTCATGGTAGCAACACATCTCACCAAACTCCTGGACTGCTCAACCCCTTGTTTACACAGACATTCATTTCTGCAGTCATACACACAATTCCACACACACTTGTGAATGGAGCTTGCTTTTTCACTCACACACATACACATAGCTAGTTAGGTACATCTCAGGCATCTACTCCTGTATATTTTAGGTGGTCTGCTGAGAAGTAAAGGAGTGAGAAAAGTGTCTGGGGAGGGATATAGAGGATTTTTCCTCTTTCTTGTCAGCCTCCTAAAATCTACATGAGGAAAGAGAATCTAATGAGAGTTTCAGAACTTTCCAGTAACCTCTACCCTTAATCAGTTTTCAGAAGACTCTGAAACATCAGCCCATGGGAAACCCTCTGTACCTTGGCATGATCATCAGCTGCCTTATTACTCCTTAATTAAATTACCTGAGACAGTTTTGACTTATAATCAGACAAATTTACCCAGGGAGGGACTAGTTAATCTATGCAGTGTCTAATACAGGATCTATTTTTGAAGGAGTTTATAATCTCCAAAGTTAACTCATATGTGACAAAGTCTCATTTATCTGAAATTTCTTTCTAAGAAATGTTGTGCTGAATGCTGCAGTCATCCAGACTGCACAGATATAATTATGGGAAAAATTTTCCCAAAAAATCTGTTTAAATAGGGACATGCACAAATTTGCCTTTAATACAGTCATGATGGGAAGACTTCAAAAGATTTAGAGACTCAGTTTGAAAGTGGTCAATAACCTATGTGGTCTGGAGGAATCACAAAAACACTCTTTCCTTCCATATTTAGCAGTTTGGTTTACAGTAAACTAAATATAGTACCATTAATTTTCTTGATATTTTTTCCTAGACAAATCTCTTTCAATCTAGCTTCAGTGAGATTGTACAGGTGTAAATGAGAACAGAATTCAGCTGCAAATCCTAAAATATGCCAATGTCTTGTTAAGGAAATATGTGAACAAACTATTAATTCCTAAAACTTTCAAAGGATTGTCCTAGGTTTCTTCCTTAGAGGTAGGAATCCAAGTTAGTAAACTTAACTTCAGGAATACCATAGGATGCTAGAAAAGTTTTACATGAGGCAATTATATTTTCCAAAAGAATGTTTCAGTCATATAAATTTTCTATTCATTTTAGTTGGTAGAGTGACTTCACTTTTTATGTTAGATTTTCATTTCTTAACAAGGAATTACAACATAAATATCTTGTAGTGAAATTTAGGTGCAGAAGGTATTCCTGTATTAAAAATAAATACAGTAGTGTTTCACAATAAGTTAAAATTACGAAATCTTCTTCTGGTATGTTAGAAGGAAAAGGGACATTATGTACATAAATTTAAAGAAAATATTTTTCCTCTTAAAATCTTGTGTGATCCATGAACTATATAAAAGGCAATTCAGAGACTGTGAATGAGGCTATACATACAGCACATCTCTGGTTTCTTTTAACATCACAAACAACTTGAGCTTTGGTCTTGTGGTTACCATGAAATTACCAGAGCCCTTCGATATATTTACCTACTGTATGTCTTATACACACATACACGTGCACACACACCCTTCCTGATAGAAAAAGAAATAGGATTTCATAGCTCTGACAAGAACATAAGGGAGAGTTATGGTTGTTAACACAGCTATGATATCATTTCCTAAGCACATGACCTTCTGCTTGACACTTCAGAGGAAAATAAGCTGAGGTAATTGGTCATCCCACTTAGTGTCATTGCCTTTTTCTGTTAAACTTTCAAGCTCCTTGAGCTTCAGCCTTTTTACACAGCACCTGGAGAAATCACATAAACTCAAGTCTCAAAATTTTCTGAGTTTTACTGTCAGGTTCTCCCATCAACAAATCTCTTCACTCGTTATTTGAGTCACCTGCCTATCCAGACTGGAGTCTGTTTCCAGCATACACACATATGAGCACACTACTTCTAGTTGAGTAGACATATATTTTAGTCTTCACATGGGAAACAAAATTCTTATTTCTTTTAAGGTCTCTAGTTATTAATAAATTATAATTGTTATTATTATATTACATAATAAATGTTATGTATGTTAATTATGTTACTATAATTATGTTACTATAATTTCTCTAATAAGTAATTAGAAACTACACATTTTCTCTGTTTTCATGGTGTTCCTGGACACTGCAAGGAAAACAAGAGCAGCACTAACTTAACAGTTAAGAATTTACGTAATTACATAAAACTTGAATATCAGACTGATTTGCTAAATTTTTGTCAGTTCTCTTCTTGTATGAAACAACAATACTTTCACTGCCAGAAAACATCAAACCTGTGGTAGCACAAGGAGGCACTTTAGGCAAATTAAATGCAATAGCTCTCAAACTGCTCAAAACTGCTAGTTCACAATTCATTCAGCTATTAGTTGTTCCTAGTCCATCAGCACAATTAATCTGGTGTCACTTCCACTTTTTTTTTCTGAGGTCCTCTTAAGAACATCCAAAATATGGGTAGAGATTTGCTTGTACTTCCCAAGTTTATATATTCTCAGAAGAATTTAAACTGAAAAGAACCTCTGGGATTATTATTCCAAACCCTTGCTCACAGCTAACCTTGAATTTAGATAAGGTTACCCAAGCCCTATCCGGCCATGTTTTGAGTAGCTCCAGATACAGTTTTTCATTAATTTCTATGGGCAATTTGTTCCAAAGCTTTACCACTCTCATTGTACTTTTTTTTATTTACATCTAGACAGAATATTTCTTGATTTAATTTTGTAGGAGCTCTTGGACCTACTGAACACGTGAAGATCAGCTGTACTGTGTTGGGTCATAAGAGAGAGCTGCAGCACACTGTTCTCAGATATGTGCATAAAATGCTACTTGGTCCATGGTAGTGAGAGACTTTATAATACAGCTCTAAAATATCTGGTAGACCCATTCAGCCCATACATTTACATTTGGTGAACAAAATAAAAATCTGGTCATTTGATTCCGTGCTTAAACCAGCTTGTTAAGCTGAAAAATAGTGTAGGATTTGAAAAGTCATCAAACTTTCATTCTTGTACGGA